CTTGTACGACCACAACAACAAACTACTTTTGAATAATTCCTTAAGATTCTTTGCTGCAGAAGTATTTGATTTTTGAAAATTTGTGTATTCGATTTTATGAGCAGTTTTTGGAGTTTAATCTTCTTTTGATGAAGACTTATATTACGAGAACAAAATAAATTTGTGTTTTATAATGAAGCAATTTGTACCTCTTATGAATTAGTCCTATTTACAATTTTAGAAATCTTGCATTTACTATTTTTTTGTGGTATTAAATAAGTGGGAATGTGAATTCTTTTCATTGTAGTTGAAGTTTTAAAGAGATTGGTTTAAGTACGAAGATAATTTTAAAATACTTTCATTTGATGTGCAGTTACATTTTCCAGCCGGAAGAGATGCAACAAGAGGTGTTATAAAGGCCTCTTTTCATTAAGAAGAAATTTTAATATCAGTTATTTCGATGAGGTATTTATCAGGGCACTAACTTGATTCAAATATTAAGGACACACAGTAGTGTTAAGTCTTTACGCATTAGCCCTAGTAATTTTTGAAGGAATATTCAATATATTTGAGCAATTTTTTAAAATCGCATCATGTTAATTTTGATATTGGATAACAGAGTCTATTGTACCTGCTGCGAAATTGGTAATAAAATGATATTATTTTTCTTAAGTTCCAAATAAATAAAGGGGTTAGTTCTTTTTGCCATAAAGACATTTTTCTTTGATCGCGCTCTGGAAGGATGCTTGCTTGTAAGCTCATAACAAGAACGCAAAATAAAATAGGCTTAAACCTAATTAAAGTGGCTCTTAGCACATTTGCATCGAAATTTTCCTATTCAACTTTTCAGTAGCATTTGTGGCAGTTTGTCACCCCTTTTGGCACTGTTAACTTTGTGTTGATATCAAAACAAGCGGAAATGTTGAAAACTTAAGCTAACAAAATCAGAAACGGTCTTCTCCTCGAAAATGTGCTCAGACGAAGTTGGGTGTTGAAAATATGTAAACATGATTCGAGCGACGAACCTTAAAAATTTAATTTTAATTTTGGCAATTTTGAAATTTTAAGAAGCCGTGACAGTATAAATAATTTTATACAGAAAAGGTGAGTAACGCGTTTAATATTTACACTTGGTAATGGGAAATTATTAATTTTGTTATTTATTTAAGGTTAAAAAATATTTCTGCTCCTCTTGAGCTCAGTGCTGCCCTGCAGGGCAACGAAGACAGTCGAAAATATTTTTATTTTAATAATATTTGCACGGAAACTGTTTTTCAGGATTTATATAAGTTGACAGAAAACAAACTGCACGGGTTGGATTTTTCAAAATGCCTATAGCTATTTTCATTATTCCTCTGAAGAAACTATTTATGTCAAGTGGCCTTTACATAGCAGTTCCAATTTCTTATCTTCTATAAAATTTGAATGAGTACGAGTCTGAAACTACGAAAATTTACTATTATTCTTTAGGCTAGTAATTATACGCTGTTCCGAAACTATTAAAGAAACATTTCTTCAGTGAATTGAGTAAATGGAATTTAATATATCCCCTTAAATTTATTAACAGAATACATTCATTTGCTACTAGTTGAGTAGGACAACTAGTAGCAACTGATTTGTCATTCCGTGAGCACAATTCATTGCTGTTAATATTTTTGCAAATAAGCAGACGCATTTCCAGCCATTCTGGCAACTACTTAGGTATACTTATACTTGAAGACACATATGTACGAGTGGAACTTAATAAATTTATGCAGCATTATACGTTCTAGTATCGTTCTAGTATAAGCACGAGTGCGCACATACCAATTTGTGTAGTTCGAATGTCTATAGATACTTTTACTTAAGCGTAAGCATATTAAACTGTCAGCACAGCAGCGATTTTCATGTCACTAAGACCGAAAGGAGAGAGGCATTGATGTGCTTTTAAGTGCTGTAAAGCAATAGGAAATGTTCGAATCAGTTATAATGAATATACAGAATGCACATAATCAGGCACCAGTGCATATAATATGTAGCATGAATATTGTGAGAAGTGTTATTGCTATCTTTTGATTATCGTCTTTGGGTTTACGTACTCGTACTTGTACATTGTAATTCGTGCTCGTAATTGCAATTATATTTTAAGTCAATTTCAAAAGAAATTTAATTTAATTGTGCTACGCTTTCTGCTTAGGGTTTGATTGGTTATAATCAAACTACTGAATTCTGAATGTTTGATTTCAGATTGTTTGGAACCCCTCGAGCTTTAAACAGTTGCACAATAGGCCAATATTTCTTACCCTACTGCTACACTGGCTTAATTTTTGGCAAAATTTGTCAAACACCCATTTCGTGCACCACATGGCTACATTAGAATACATTTTAAAAATATATAAAAGTAATTAATTCAATGTTTTTACTAAGTTTGATATTTTAATAATATAAAAATACATATTTCGAACATATTTCATCTCTCCGTAGTTTACCTGATCAGATACAAGAAGTGTACAAAAAGAGGTTTTTATAATCAAATAAAAATTAGAATAAATAGAAATAAAGGATAGAGCCCTGAAATTATTTGGGAAAACTGACAGACTTACCAACACCGCATTATAAAATCTCAAAATGGTTACAGGCTCCTCGGGAAGGTATGCAGATCTGAGGTCAATTATTGCTTGGTCTGATGAAGTGATAAACAACAATCTAGTCAAGGTATAAAGAGGGGTTTTGAAAATACCTCGAGTTAAAAAAGAGTAAGAGAGTAATGGAATTTTCATAATTTTTGCCGGCGCCATAGGACGCACGTTGGGTTCCTATAATGATGAAATAATGCAATATAAGTTTTAGTTCTTACACTGAAAAAAAAAGTTGTAATATCAATAATTTTAACTTTTGTTTTAAGTATTTTTCTAAGACATTGTTAGAGCGGTTAAAGTCAAATTGTTAATATTGTAGGATTCTGTAGAATTATTATAATTGATGTGTTATATGATTTATATATTATATTTTATTATATTTTAAGCTATTGTAATTAATATATTGTATAGTTAAATTATTATAATTAATATATTATATAATTCATATATAATATTTTATATGGTTAATATATGGTTAATTAATTTATCTACCTAACCCTGTATAAGATGTAATCAAACCAACGGTTCTAATTCTTGTTTTTATTGCCTTTTGTTTTTTGCGCTCGAGATGAGCAATTTTTTGTTATATTTTTTGGCTGCAAGTAAACTCCGTTGGTTTGATTCTGTCTCTTGTTTTTCGATCGCGAACGTGTCAACACACGGGTACACATAAAAAAGTGATTAAACAATCAATAACCGAAATTGTATAAATTCAATTGTATAAATTAAATGAAATCAAAACCCAATTATAAAAACGTTTATAATTTACATTGTGTTAAAGAAATTGAAATAAAGATCATAAAACCCAATTATAAAAACGCTTATAATTTACATTGGCGACCGTGACAGGACTTTTTGCAATTTTAATAGTGGTTATTAATCTCCAATTTGTTAAAAAATCTAAATATTACCCACGTGTGGTAATCATTTTTTTTTATTAAGTTTGTAATCATTAGTGTACGCGTGTGTACATTTCTTCCAGATAGCTATTCTGTGGACTGTCGAACGTATATACACTTGTGCAATTGGTGGTTCTCGGTTTAGGTCCGCTAACCTCAAAACAGAACCTCGTGTCCGCATCAAGATCGCGCTCGACAGTTAAATTCACAACAACAAGATATCTTTACTTGTTGATTGTACATACTTTCGCTTTTATTGTTTTTGGTTAATTTGTAACCATTAAAGTGCGCGTGTGAATATTTCTTCTAACCAGTTATATAGCTAACGCGTGCTAACTATCATAATATATCATACATCTATATATATACTACCTATGTACTATCGTACGTATATACTCTTGTGCAATTGGTGGTTCTCGGTTTAGGTCCGCTAACCTCAAATCAGAACCTCGTGTCCGCATCAAGGTCGTGCTCGACATTTAAAATAACAACAACAAGATACCTTTACTTGTTGATTGTATATACTTTCGCTTTTATTGTTTTTGGTTAATTTGTAACCATTAATGTGCGCGTGTGAATACTTTTTCTAACCAGCTATATAGCTAACGTGTGCTAACCATTATAATATATCGTACATCTATATATATATTACATATGTACTATCGTACGTATATACTCTTGTGCAATTGGTGGTTCTCGGTTTAGGTCCGCTAACCTCAAAATAGAATCTCGTGTCCGCATCAAGGTCGTGCTCGACAGTTAAAATAACAACAACAAGATACCTTTACTTGTTGATTGTACATACTTTCGCTTTTATTGTTTTGGGTTAATTTGTAACCATAATGTGCTCGTGTGAGTATTGCTCCTAAACGGTTATATATCTAAAGTGTGCTAACTTTAATAATATCGTACATCTGTACATATATACTATATACTATCGTACGTGTGTACTATTGTGCATTCTATGGTTTTCGGCTTAGGTTCTGCTAAGCGCCAAATAGAACCTCGTGTCCGCATCAAGGTCACGCTGAACAATTACAACAACAACAACAAGTTAACTTGTTGATTACTGGTTAATAGTTGCTTCCAATCAGTAAGTGGGCGGATTCGTCAACGTCGCGTCTGACAACAACCACCGTAAGAGCAGTTCAATTTCGGAAAGTTCGCTGCTGCTATTGTGACTTTTCGACTTCGTCAAATCCCTTGCTGTTCTCAAGTATCTACAATTGTTTCAATGGCAACGGCAGAGCCAACCACTACGGCAGAACTGTCAGAACTAAAACAACAGCGAGCCTCGACGAAAGCGAGCATTTCAAGGATCAAGACGTTCGTCAAAGGAAAGAGTAATTCGCTCTCACAACCAGAACTGAAATGTCGACTAGGTATTTTAGAATCATATTTTAAACAAATCTTAGCTTTTCAGACGTTGATCGAGAAATTAGATGCAACTGACTCAGCTAGAGATGAATTAGAAGACCTATACGTTTCCACCAAAGTATTAATCATGTCTCAACTGCAGGAAGAGGCCCACAATGCATCAGTGCTAGACGTAACAGCAATGATGCCCACCTCAAGTAAAAAATTACCACTGTTAAAATTACCTACATTCAGTGGTAAGTACTCGGATTATAACAATTTTATTAATTCGTTTCTCCAAATCATAGATCGCGAAATATACCTCACAAATATTGAAAAATTTAATCACTTACTGAACTGCCTTACTGGTCAAGCTCTAGAGACAGTACAGGCATTTCCTATTTCGAATGAAAACTATCCAAAGGCTCTGGATAGGCTTAAATCGCGCTATTCCAATAATAGCCTAATCTTCGCCGAAAATATCGCGACACTATTTGATCTACCAGCAGTATCGGGTCAGTCAAGCCAACAACTCCGTAGTCTGGTAAACAATGCATCCGCTTTGTATGGTTCACTCTGTTCGCTAGGTACAGAGAAACAAATATGTGAGGCTCTACTTATCTCGCTAATCATGCAAAAAACGGACGCAATTACACGTAGGAAATGGAATGAATCGCGTAACTTCGACACATTACCCAGTTGGGAAGATTGCTCAAAATTATTGGATAGGCATTGCCAGTTTCTCGAATCACTCGACAGTGGAAACGGCAATCAGTCATCATCACAACGTAAACCTAATAATCTTAACTCCAAGAGTAACAGACGCTCAAAACAATACGCATTTGTTGCATCTACATCCAGCAATTCTTGCTCATTTTGTTCTAGCAATGAACACCTAATACAGAATTGTCATCGTTTTAAGGCACTGGAGGTGGTTCAAAGGTTTGAAAAGGTAAAGAGCCTAAAACTCTGCATAAACTGCTTATCGCCACGCCATCATGTGGTTAATTGCACATCAACGTTTAAATGTAAGGTTTGCGCAAAGCCACATCACACTCTCTTGCATCATTCGCAATTGCCAACGAATATTAAGAGCGCGGGATCATCACGACGCACAGAACACGCTGCTATGCCCAACGACAACGTTGCCAGCCATTCCCATCTTAATATGTCATCGGCCGAGCAAATAATTCTAGCTACTGCATTGGTTTTAGTGAAGGATTCATCGGGAAGTTATCAAGTGGGTAGAGCCTTGCTTGATTCATGCTCTCAGGTCAACTTCATAACGGAGGAGTTTTCAAAGAAGCTTAGTTTAGCAAAACATAAACATCGGTTGCATGTTTCCAGTATTGGTAGTTCGTTGACCAACATAAAGTATCAGACGCTCACATCAATCAAATCTCGTCATTCAAATTTTGAACTTGCTTTAAACTTTGGTATTACGAATCACATCGCATATCAACCAAGTTCTGAAATCGATATATCGTCGTGGAAGGTTCCACCAAATACACCTCTCGCCGATGAGCAATTCTTTAAATCCAAGCGCGTTGATCTTTTGCTTGGAGCTGAAAGTTTCTTTGATATTTTGTCTGTCGGTCAAATCAAACTAGGTGAAAATCTTCCAGTACTTCAAAAAACACTATTAGGATGGATTGTATCTGGCAAGTACAAGGGTCAGCCATTTGCATCACCAGCAGCAAAATGCCTATTATCAGTTGAAGATACAGTCTCCGATCAATTAGAAATGATGTGGAAGATAGAGGAAGTGCAATCGGCTTCAAAATCATGGTCACCAGCACATGTTGCGTGTGAGTCATTATATCGTGAAACGGTTCACCAAAATGCGATGGGAAGAATTGTCGTTCGGTTACCATTCAAAGATTCACCAGATTGTCTTGGTTTGACACACAATATCGCCTTGCGCCGTTTTTATTCTGTAGAACGGCGATTGTCATCTAATCGTGCACTGAAGCAAGACTATCAAGAATTCATGAAACAATATCGAGAGCTCGGACACATGACGCGTGTTGAGACTCCGAAAACCAACGAACCTCATTATTATATCCCTCATCATTGTGTTTTAAAACCGTCGAGCACTTCGACCAAGCTGAGGGTGGTTTTTGATGCGTCATGTTCAACAACTTCGCAACGTTCATTAAATGATATTCTACTGGTCGGCCCGACAATTCAGCCGGAGTTATATTTGTTGCTACTTCAATTTCGTTTGCACCGATATGCCTTGACGGCTGACATTGTTAAGATGTACCGACAGATACTGATAGATGAACCAGATCGAAAATTCCAATATATTTTTTGGCGAGATACGGAGTCCGATCCTGTTAGTACTTACGAGTTGAATACAGTCACTTATGGTACTGCATCAGCACCTTTCCTAGCAACCAGGAGTTTGCAGTATTTGGCGGACAAATTTGAAACACAATACCCAATAGGCGCTGCACTCATTAAATCATCGTTCTTTGTCGACGACTTCTTAGGTGGAGCAGATTCCATTGATCAACTCACCAATATCAGACATCAGTTAACGGCCATTCTACAGAAGGGTTGCTTCGATCTTGACAAATGGCATTCAAACCATCATGACTTCATCAGCGATACTACAACAAAGAGTTTGAATCTTGATACAGATACAGTCACCAGCGCTCTAGGCATCAAGTGGCACCAAATGCAAGATGTTTTCCTATTTTCGTTTAATGCACAACCAGGTCATATTGTAACAAAACGCACCATCTTATCCCTTGCGTCTTCATTATTCGACCCGCTTGGATTACTAGCACCGATCATACTCGTAGCCAAAATTATGATGCAAGAATTGTGGCTTTTGCGTGTGGACTGGGACGAGTCAGTCCCTCAAAATCTTCACTCAGCTTGGAAAACATTTATTCAAGATCTTACAACGCTTTCATCGGTTAAGGTGCCGAGGTACTGCCTATCCATAAACTATCAACAGGTTGATGTACACGGTTTCTGTGACGCTTCAATACGCGCATATGGTTGCTGTATATTTCTCCGATCACAAAACACATCAGGTAAGGTGACGGTCAGGCTATTCACTGCAAAATCCCGTGTGGCACCTATAAAGCGGAAGTCGCTACCTAAACTAGAACTCTGTGGTGCCTTACTTCTTGCCAAACTGTATCAGAAGGTCCAACCAATATTTGCGCAATTTAAGGGTGAAACGTTTTTTTGGACTGATTCACAGATTGTATTACATTGGTTGAAGCAGCACTCATCAACCCTGTCTGCATTCGTTGGCAATCGAGTAGCGGAAATTCAAGATATTACCGCAAATGGGCAATGGAGACACGTTCCTACCCAATCCAACCCGGCAGATGTTGTGTCGCGCGGCTGTAACATCCGCCAATTATCAGAGTCTTGTTGGTTTACGGGGCCGGAATTTTTGTTACTCGCTGATAAATACTGGCCGCATTTGAAATGTCACAACCTGGATATGGAAGAAGTCAATAAAGAGACGCGAAAGGTTGTATTCGTTAACACAAATGAAGACAACTACGTATTACAGGTATTGTCAAGATATAGTTCATACACTAAGATGCTACGAGTAATAGCGCAGGTACAGCGTTTTTATCATGTAACCAAGAATAAATTGAAGAACGGAGAATGTACCCTCCAACCTATTCAGCTACAAAAGGCATTGCACTGTATTATTTGGGTCATCCAACAGCAATTCTTCGAAATTGATATACAACGCCTACAACGAGGGAACCCAGCCAAAGGTACATTAAAGCATCTAAATCCCTTCCTGGACAATGTATTCGGTTATCAATTACTAAAGGTGGGAGGTCGCCTCGAGCTGAGTGACATCTCAGTAGGCCAACGTCACCCTATTTTGTTGCCGAAGGGCTGTTATTTTGTGGAACTTTATGTTCGGCATATACACTTGTGCAACTATCATGCAGGCGCAAAAGCACTAATTGCCCTTACTCGACTAAACTTCTGGATAATTAATATTCGAGAAATTGCACGCCGAGTCGTGCACTCGTGTATTCACTGCGTGCGTTATAAACCCAAACTACTTAATCAAATGATGGGTAATCTCCCAATCGAACGCCTCACTCCAAGCCGTCCATTCGCGCGTACTGCGGTAGATTTTTGCGGTCCGATATTAACGTATCTCCGAATTCGGGGACGGGTTCCATATAAGACCTATATAGCCGTGTTCGTTTGTTTGTCTACAAAGGCAGCTCATCTAGAAGCCGTGTCAGACTTATCTACGGAGGCATTTATTGCAGCACTGAAAAGGTTAATCGGTAGACGAGGGTTACCATCAGACATCTATTGCGATAACGCCACAAACTTCGTTGGGGCTAACAACAAACTAGCAGAGTTAAAAAGGATGTTTTTCGAGAAGTCTAATCAAGTGATGCTGCAGACCTTTTGCAGCAACCAATTCATAAATTTCAATTTTATACCGCCCCGAGCACCTCACTTTGGAGGTCTATGGGAAGCGGCTGTAAAAAGCGCGAAAGGCCATCTGTATCGAACACTATCAAATACTCGATTCACCTTTGAGGAGCTTGGAACAGCACTGATTGAAATCGAAGCCATCTTAAATTCGCGACCAATCACACCTCATTCTTGTGACCCGAGCGATTACGAAGCGCTAACGCCGGCACATTTTCTTATCGGTGGGCCGCTCAAAACTTTATCTGAACCAAGTCCTCAGTATGAAGCTGCTTCATTAATTGATAAATGGTCTCGTATAACCGCGGTCAAACATCACTTCTGGCGCAGATGGTCTAGAGACTATCTGAATGAGCTGCAGATACGCACCAAATGGACAGAAGAACAATCTAACATCACCGAGGGGGCTCTGGTTATAATCCATGAAGACAATATGCCTCCACTACGCTGGTTGATGGGCCGAATCGTGCATTGCATCAGGGGTCCAGATAATTTGGTTCGTGTTGTTGATGTGCAAACCCCAAAAGGAGTAATACGCCGTCCAATCCACAAACTCGCACTATTACCAATTGAAAATCCTTTCAAGGGGGGCGGGATGTTAGAGCGGTTAAAGTCAAATTGTTAATATTGTAGGATTCTGTAGAATTATTAATTGATGTGTTATATGATTTATATATTATAATTTATTATATTTTAATCTATTGTAAATCATATTGTATAATTAAATTATTATAATTAATATATTATATAATTCATATATATATATAATATTTTATATGGTTAATATATGGTTAATTAATTTACCTAACTAACCCTGTATAAGATGTAATCAAACCAACGGTTCTAAGTCTTGTTTTATTGCCTTTTGTTTTTTTGCGCTCGAGATGAGCAAATTTTATTGTTATATTTTTTGGCTGCAAGTAAACTCCGTTGGTTTGATTCTGTCTCTTGTTTTTCGATCGCGAACGTGTCAACACACGGGTACACATAAAAAAGTGATTAAACAATCAATAACCGAAATTGTATAAATTCAATTGTATAAATTAAATGAAATCAAAACCCAATTATAAAAACGTTTATAATTTACATTGTGTTAAAGAAATTGAAATAAAGATCATAAAACCCAATTATAAAAACGCTTATAATTTACAGACATATTTTACCCAATAAAGTCAAAAAAATAACACAGTAGTTGTATGTATAAATGTTTTATTTTGTTAATAACTTAAGAATTGTACTCAGATTTAATTTATATTAGATCAATTATTACATTAGATATTAGACAATAAATAAAAAATTTCTAACTATTAACCAAATTAAAAATCTTAACACAGCCTCTCCATTATTTAATGTACATTGCTTAAAAGGATGAGAAACTTCATTAATTAATTTAATATAATAAGAATTACATTTACCTAAAAATTTGTACGATTGAAATTTATTTGAAAAAACAGTATTAATGTCTTGACCTATCACATAAAAGTCATTAGTCGATTCATAAAATATTGTTATTATAATACATATAATATTGTTCCACATCGTACGTGACTACCTTGATCATTTATTATACCTTTGTTAGATAAGCTATTGACTTCATACCCAATAGTAAAGTTTGTGAATTTGAAAAACAGTCCTCTCAAAGTAGCTTATTCTTTACAATGTGAAGACTTTCGTATTCACAATGAGTCCCTGCTTACACGCAATTCCGACCTTCCAGTTATCTCTTGGTGTCTTCCGCCTTTTCTCAATCCTTTCCTTGATTCTCCTTTTGAATTTCGTGAACTTCAGCTTGTGCTTGCAAACACCAAATCTAACAAAGCTTCAGGTAACGACAGTATTCCTTATGAGTTCTACAAAAATGCTCCTGTTGGTTTCCTTAACGAGTTACTTACGCTATATAATTATATATTCCTTCACGGTGTCATACCTTCTTCGTTTTTAAAATCGATAATTCAACCCATGTTTAAAAAAGGAGATCCCAATATAGTTACTAATTATCGTGGATTATCATTGCTGGACTCTATATATAAAATATTTACTGGTATACTACTTTCGCGTATGAATAGCTGGGTTGAGCTCAATAATATATTAAATGAATACCAAGCTGGATTCCGCAGATCTTACTCAACTGTTGATAATATTTTTAATCTAACCTCTATTCTACAATTAAATTTAAGTAACAATAAAAAAACATATGCCTTTTTTGTGGATTTTTCATGTGCATTTGACACTATACTCAGGAATGCCTTATTTTTCAAATTAGCTTCTTTAGGTTTGTCTCATAAGTTTTTGAGCACACTGATGAAACTATACTCGAACACCAGCAGTTGCGTAAGAGACGGTAATCTTGTATCTTCTTCATTTAAAGTTACTCAAGGTGTAGAACACGGATGTCTGCTCAGCCCGATTTTGTTCTCCCTATACTTAAATGATCTGCATGACTTTTTAACGGGTGGAGTACCTATTAACTCAACTAATATAAAAGAGTTTTTGTATGCTGATGATGTGGTTCTACTTGCGGATTCACCTGATGTATTGCAAATTATGATACATGATTTATTAATGTATTGTTCACAATGGGGTCTTATCGCGAATCTAGATAAATCTAAGATAATGATTTTCAGAAAAGGTCCTAGAGTAAGTAAATTCGTTGTCGTGGAAATTTGGGGAAAGGCAAGTAGAAATTGTCAATGAATATAAATATCTCGGAATATTAATTACGTATAACCTTTCCTACAATAAACATTTGACTTCTAAACTCTCCTTAGGTAAAAGTGCATTTAACTCGACATGGGCAAAGTATTTGTCTAATCCTAAAATAACTTTTAAAAATAAATTGAAAATTTTCTACTCGGCAGCACGTTCGATTGTATTTTACGGTGCCCAAGTTTGGGGTTACAAACACTATGATCAAGTGGAAAAACTTTTTAGATTTTTTATAAAAAAGATACTATTTCTACCCACTAACACCCCCAACTATATGCTCCACTTAGAAACGGGTTTACCGACGCAGTTCCTAGACACAATACAAATACATTTCGCATATGTAAGAAAAATTCTTAATCTCCCCCCCACAAGGCTTCCTCGAATATTAGCGGAACTTATAATTAGTAAAGGTATATATTGGGCCAAAGATTGGAAAAATATGTGTTTAGAACTGGGTGTTTCAATAACCAGTTTTAGGAGAATGGACCTTAAATTATTGCACAAAAATATTATAACTTTATATGAACGGAGGGAACTCGATTCTTTTGTAACGAATGCTAGGTCGGGATCTCATGACATGTACCCACAGCTACAATATGACATTATGCATAATTTTTATTTCGAAAACACTCAGCACATATCGAGCCTACTTTTTAAATGTAGAGGCAGTCTTTTTAATCTGAACGATAGAGAGTTTAATACATCTGATCGTGATTGTTCTATATGTAATCGTCATGAAATAGAAAATATATGTCATATTATTGGTGTATGTCCAATTTTCAGAGAACAAAGGCGTAGTTTTTTTGATAAAGCACTTCTGTCTGAAGAAGAAGTGAAAATCTTATTAAACGGTAGCAATATTTATAAACTGTATAATTTTATGAAAAGTGTTTTGAGTTACAGAAAATTAATTATTGAAGAATTTATATAAATAATAATGTTAATATTATGCACCTTCTTTTGTATGTCAATCTGACACACAACAAATATGTTATTGTCAATTTAGATTTTAAGTAAAATACTATAATTTTTGTAAGTGCTGTATGAATTTTTTTTGAATCAATAAATAATAATAATAATAATAATAATAGTAAAGTTTGTGCATGAGTTTGAATAAAAATTGAACTAAATTAGATCAATTTGTGCAACACATTTAAGATTAGATATATCCATTTGAAAAAATTATTTCCTAATGTATGTGATGCTAATGTAAGAGAATGCTTTATAGCTAATGTCTATGGAATATTTTTCCTTGAAGTAATAACATTTGCATATTTTTCTAAGAATGCGTCCCTTCCCTTCAAATCACAACTTGAATGATGCACGGAAAATAATTTTCTGTTCCTTTTGTTCCTTTCACTGGCTGTATAAATATCGAAGAGAGAAAAATGTGCTATAGGTCCCAAAGTGTGATTGACTACACGGCACTTTTCCGGAAAACTGCTAATCGAAAAAAAAACATTTTTGCACGGAATATTTTTAACTTAAAATAAGACCTTTCCGAAAATTTCACCATAAAATTCCAAGCATGAATTTGCTTGGTACTTAATGGGTTAAGATTAGCTATAATTTACTGAAACGAATTGAAGGACTGTATTTATACACACGAATATCATTATTAATTCATCAAGACTGTTTTTTAATCTTGTAACATTAATATTTTTTTCAAATTACAGAATTCATTAAAAACCGGGCCTATCTGTACGCTAAATAGAACTCGTAAGGTACTGAACACCTTAAGGAGAAGGTAACTTAAATAAAAAAAATTTCTAATGACTTCACTTGTTTATATATGTATAACATAAATAAATTATAGATATGTGTTTCAGTGACTCAGTGATTGTATGATATTCACAAGTTCATTCAATATAAAATTTAAAAAATGACAAAAAAAAACATATTGTGAATTAAATAATTAAATTAAAAGTCATTTCTATTTAGCTTTTGTTTATTTAAATTTTATTAATTAATTAATTTATTCACGTCTATACACAGGTACAAAATAATAATCTGCTTAAAAAAATAAAATGTTTATCAACGAAATCGACTTACTGTAACTGTTTTAATATTTAGTTGATAAACAATTCCATCCAACTTCCAACAGCCGATCATTATAGCTAGCAAACAAATTTATAAATCTTAATATTATGTATGTTATTATATATATTTACATATTGTTTTGCTCATATACAACTTGTGTGCTTGTGTGTTTAGCACCTACCACTAGTTTTTAATTAGCGAATCGTTAGCTTAAAATTGTATTGGACGAGTTCCAGAATAATCCGTGTGTACTTTAAGAGCAGTCGAGTGGTGAGATAGCATTACGGGTGTCAGCTGTTTCAACATGGTATGTACATCTCGGAAACTGTAACATTAAATATTATTACTTGCTTTGCATATATAAGCCTAACAAAATTTTTGGTTCCTCCAGAGTTGCCATCCGAAGTTGTGCTTGTTTTATGTTGTTCTTTTGCGAGAAGCTTACAAAAGAAAAGACCTATTGTCAATGTTAATGTTCAGTTCAGGCTCAGTTAGTCGGTACGTACTATTTTAGGGGCATATTTGCTGGTATGTACTGCTGCTATTTTATCCATTAGCAATATGTCTGAAACTCCCCAAAATTCATATTCATTTGCATTAGCACTGCTGATTCGAATCATAAATAAATATTAATATTGATTATTAATATTCATTTCTAAACATATTGATTAATTATATTTGAATTTTCGAGCGAGCTCCTTCAGTTGGAATAAAGAATCATATTACTGACATAATAATAAAGTTTTACCATCTATTGCATACTAGTCCCGAATTATAAGTCAGCCTTTAAGTGTTTTAACATTTTTTATATTTACAGAATATTGGTTTATTGTGTGGTCTAAATGTGGACTTCGATTACCTAGGTGTGGAGGACAGCGGATTAAATAGTTTTTTGGTATTTTATGAAATGTTCTCTCCAGTTAGCCAAACAGTTTTACAAATAGATGTGATGGACCAAGCAGATAACACAACTCACTATCAAATGGGATTTGATATAGTTGTTATTGGATATATAAAATGTATTAGAGAGAAAATATATTATTAACAAAAGTTTATAATAACTAAAGTATGTTCTCATTTTAAAATAATCAAATGTACTTTTAAACAGATATATCAAATATGACTTCTGAAAAATTTATTTAAATGATTTAATCAAACGATGTTATTGTAACGAAAAAGATACCGAAACAATTGCAACAGAGAACTTTCACGCCGCTCTCACCACGTTAAATTAAATACCTTGAAAACTGTACATGTTGTACAGATAATCCAATGACATCAAAACGACACCCTAAAAACAATTACCAACGCTCCATGGTATGTCCGTAATTGCGACCTTCATAGTGACTTGCATGTTCTGACATTTGCTGAAATAATCACTCTTCAGGCTGAAGCACATAAAGAAGATTTGAAGTTCACTGCAACACAGAAGCCTCATCACTATTTCAAACAAAAGACCTCACACGACGGCTTAAAAGAACAAAACCGTCTGATTAAACTAATTAAATTATATATTGACCATTATACTATAATATTATAGATAATTATTATAGTCGATAATATCAACTATTTTAAGTCCCCGATATAAAAATATTACTAATTAGTTCTTATATATAACTAGGCGCAATTGAATAAATAATAAAAAATAGAAATTAAGATTATGTTGTTCTCTTATCTTTTGTAATAGCCCACTTATACCAGGTATAGGATGCTTTCTAGATGACTTGATATCTCACACTTTAGTTGTATGCAATTTAACTATTTTATTTAAATTTTATAATATTTATTATAGAATTAAATCCAATAATAATATTCCTCATTAAAATTCTGTTGTTCATACACAAAAATAAGACGAAATTCTTGAGCCATATATGTGGTTAATCCAAAAAAGTACGCAATATTTCTTAATGTCTTTTGTCATTTATACAAATATATATTCAGTTTTTAACTTATTAAAGCTTTTTTACATAAAAATTTCTATTTTATACAACTTTACTTAGTTACTTTACTTAATTATCTATTGTCCGATATTATTTTTGATATTTTTATTGCCTTCCTGAAAAAAACCCTTAGCTCAACTTAGCTTAGCTTTTTCCTCTACTCTTATCTTTTTCTTCTCTAATCTTTGCTTTCTTTTCATTGCTGTATCTATCCTATTAAATCACTTTATCCACATATATATCACAAACTAAAATTTTATTTATTGTGTCAAAATTTAATTGTAATTCTTCTTAAGTTTGGTATTCAACATGTACAAATAAGGGCAGTTGTTACTAATAAGTTATCATATATTTTAATATTAAATATAACACTAAGTTGGAAATGCATTCAATTGTAAATTGAAATCATTATTAAATAGGTTGACTATAGTTATTATGTCCATTTAAGATTTATCAAAATATGTATACCGGATATTATATGCTGTGTTATGTTAACAGTCACTGTCCGCACTTTCGCCGGTGTTATGAAAATTGGTTCAGTTATTATGTTTCAATTCGTTTTTATTGAAAGAAACTATTCGATCAATACTTAATTTAAATTGTGTGATACCTAATGTTAATAAATATAAGTCTTCAGTCCGCTTTCATATTGTAAAAATATTTTAGATGCTTTTTAAGAGGTGGTCTGAAATCTAATCGAAGTCCTCAGAAAAGTAAGCCAATGCAGACTGCAAATGTTCGTCCTCCTTACTTTTGTGGCAAGAATTATTGAAGGGAATATTTAATTAATTGTCATATCTGATATCTTAATGGTTGTTTTTTTTATCCAGGAAAGAAAAATTTTTTTGTAGATGTCTACATATTGTTTAAATGTTCTTCAAGAAGATTTCAAAACCTTTAAATTGCAAATATACCGAAAAATCTTAAGAATTCTATGGGCTGCTCACAAAAGTAACATTACCGTGCTTGAGCACTGCCATGCAAATACCAGACTTACAAAAATAATCCCCAAAGCATGTCTTAGGTCACGTAGCATGACCACTATAGTTATAGTTTAATAAATCTGAACGGAAAACGAAAAGTTCACGGAAACAGAAAACAGTCAAATGTAGTCTTTAATCGGAATAATGTTGATCGAAAAGATATATATATTGCTTGGTTGAAGAAAGTAGTACGTCGCAAAGAATAATAATCAATTTAGTTACGCCACTAAGTTCTGTCAGTGGTTCAAGGGAACCTTCTTCTGGTTAAAGAAGACAAAACTTATATTGTTAGTATTATAGTCAAATTATTCAGATTTATTTTTTTTTGTTAAGTGTTTAAGTACTATATGTCACTTAATATGCTTTGTTTTAAAAACTAACTTAGTGACTAAAAATATATTCATTACAGTATTATTTATTGAGAACTACAGTATAAGATAAAATAATTTATACGTAATACATGTATTAAAATTTTGATTTATCAATTAATCTTTGACATACTAACGCAGATATATTGGCAAATTTTTGCATATACATTGGGCCATTAAACAAACAGTAACAGAAAATAAATGTAACATTTATTTCAAAGATACAAGGATCTATAAAGGTGGACAACAATAAAAGATAAAAAAAATTTGAAATATAATAAGGATAACTAAATATAGTAATTATATAAAATAATATTTATTAAATATAATAATTAATTAAAAATAATAGGAGCACTAAATCAGTTCAATTATTCGTAATTTTTTGAAAATTCTAGAGTTATATGGGCTTCTTGTTAACCGTTCCACGTCTTAACTGATTGAATAAAAATATAATCTGTTGGTGGAAAAACTCCACACATTAAGTGTGGAGTATTTTTTGGAATACTTATGGTGCTAGTAATTAAAAATGAGTAAATTCAGTTTTTCCAAATGTATTTCTCAAGAAGCCCGCCTGACTAGTTCATATGTGCCACAGCTCCTACCGATATGTTTTTGACTAGGAACCCAGAGAAGATAAATTTTCAATTGAGTCTACATTTTTTTCAGAGGTGTGTAACAGTCAAAAATCGTACTAAATATAATTTTATCTGAATTATTTGAGTTCGTATTATTCGAGTTTAATATGGTATGGTATAATTCACTTCAATTAATTGCTTATTTTCTTTAATGGTTGGCATTTTTGGAATTCACGGATTAAGACTTTCTTGTCAATCATCAAGTTTTTTATTTTATTTGTTAAAACAGTTTAGCAACTTCTTATTTCGTAGTTAGAAGAGTTCGAACAGAAACGAAAAGACAACAACCGAAATTTAGTTAATTTATTGAAATTTCGGTTTCGAGTATTTTCAAGTATTCATCATCATTTTCCAGATATTTTTTAAGTGACAGTAACCAAAGCATTTGCAATGCTTAAATTAAAACTAGCTTATAAAATATGGATTAATATGGAAACAAAAGTTCAACGAATTGAAAGATATTTCTAATGGTGGCCATTACGGCTACAGTGTTTAGATAGCGCTGTAGTAAACGCTTGGAAACTAAATTGCTTTGTCGCTGCATCTACCAACACAAAACCGATGCCTCAGTTAGACTTCAAGAATTTCATTGCCAGAAACCTTCTTCTTGTATCAGAGAACTCAATCTGCATTACAGAAGCTACCGCTTACGATGATTTGAAAAAGGAAAGTCACAGTACAGTAGAAGATGTTTATCTTCCGGAAAGTTTACTACGTGTA